TTTCCTACCTCCTAGGCCTGGGCTCTACCTCTTGGGCCTCAGCTTTCCCATTACTGCAAGGAAGGAGCTGGCCTCCGTGACAGCTAAGCACTTTGATTTGTGTGAGGCTGTGGTGGCGGGGAGCAAGCAGGGCTCTCTATGGGGCTGGGTGAGTCTGGCCTCTGCCCCAGTCCCAGTTTCCTCAGTTATAAAGTGGAAGGACTAGTGTGAGGCTGTGAAGGGCCCCCTAGTACAGCACACAGTGGGTGCTCCATGTAGCAGGGGGAGGGACTGAGATCACTGGCACCCCTGTTGCCCCTGCCCAGCCACATAGGAGGGAGGAGGAGCAGGGCTGGGGCAGGGACTCCAGCCTGCCAGCTCCTCAGCCCTGAGGGCCACACCTTACGGATGGGTAGGGGGTGAGGCAGGGTTGGAGAGGGAGGAGTTAGGGGCGTGGTGGGACTTGCCCCTCTCTCCCATCCTTGGCCACTTGTCCCCACTTGCCCGTCAGGCTCAGAAGGTCATCAGTGAAGCCTCAGAAGGCCAGAGGAGGAGAAGCTCGTGGTCCAACAGAAGCCAGAGTCCTGTGCAAACCTCCTCCATCTTTTCAGACTACTATGATCTGGGTTACAACATGCGGTCCAACTTATTTCAAGGTCAGCCCCGGGGGGGGGGCAACAGCCAGGGTCTCCAGGGCACCGAGCAGGAAAATGGGAGGGTCTTTGGGGTGTCCACCCCTTAAGCAATCTGGGAGCCCAAGGCACAGGACACCCTCTTCATGTCCCCAAGGGCATCTTTCATGCCGGGCCCATCCTGCCTGGGTGTTGGGTGTGACCAAGCCCGGCCAGTCTGTCTTTGTGTGCGCATGACATAGCTGGGTGGTGGCTGCCAGTCTCTTACACCCCAGGACACTGTTAGCTTCTTAATCTGCCAGTGGGAGGCCCAGCCTCGCTGGCCTGACACCCTTGACCATAGTGACAGTGTGGGGTATCTTGGGCTCAAGGCTCAGCTCAAAGACTCCCTCCCTGGCTGGGTGTGACCTTCGGCGGGTTCCTTAACCACTGAGCCTCAGTGGCCTCCCGAGGGTGCTGGGATGCCGAGGACACAGTGGCGCTCACTTGGGTGGTGGGCAGGGGCCTCTGAAATCATGAAGGTGTTCGGCCTGTGGCACTGTGGAGTCCTCAGTAGCTGCCAGGTCTTATGTCCCTTCCCTGGGGTACCACTTAATGCGGTGGGGAAAGGCAGGATGCTGGCAGGCTGAGCCATCTAGATGTTTCCTGTGGGTCTGAGCAGCCCTACCTGCCAGGTAGTGGTGGCGGCCGCTAGTATGTCCCTTTGATAGGTGGATTTGAGATCCATTACCAGAGACTTGTTAGTAACCTGAGGTGGATTTGGGACTGAGATCCAAGGTTCCCTTCTGACCCATGCATGGTCTGTCCCCAGTACCAGGTCCAGTCACCTCCCTACTGTGACACTATAGGCCGGAGAGAAGGCTTTCCACAGTGCTCACATGGGGTCCCGGCCAACACGTTGGGCTCCCCTCGGGGCCCACGCTGTGGTGCGGCCTTGCTGTAGAAGCCCAGGCTCTTTCCTCCCTCGCCGCCTTCCGAGAGCTCCGGGGCCTGGCTGACCTCCCCTACTTGGCTGGGCTCCCGGTCACCCAAGGAACCAGACACCCACTGGAAGCGTTTCTGAGGTTTTCTTTGAGTTTGGAGAGGAGTGGTGCTGGGGGAGGGGGTGAGAACACAGCTCATATTGTCCTTGTTCTGGGCTCCGTGACCCCGCTTCCCCCTCTGCAAGGTGATCGCGTATCTTTCTTACATACATACAGCCTTGTGTGAAAAACTTCATAAACGTAAGAGAACGACACACCCCACCACCCAGGCTGGCCTGCAGAACAGTGCCAAGGGAGCACTGACCGGGCCACACCGGTTCGCAAGGGTCAATTGTTCCGTTTCCTAGAACCAATCGACATTTAAATGCTATCTTAAGATTGCCCTGGCAGCTGTGTTTACACACCGGAAACGGACAAACCCTGGGAGCAGGGCTATGCCCCGGGGGCAGCGCAGCAGTCACTGTCCCTGGCCCTGTGTCCGTCTCAAGCTCCACCTGCCTGGGTTGGCACTGGCTGGTGAGGCAGGTGAGGCCACATGGTTGTGTGTGTGGGAATCAGAAGGGAGGCAGCCGAGGACTGCAGACCCAGGGAGGACTTTTCCCTGAGGGAGGCAGGAAACCACGCAAGGACCATAAGCAAATGGCCCTGCCGGCCTTAGGGACGAGGACGACTTGGGTGCTGTGCTGGATGTGAGGGTGTTGGGGCAGGAATGAGCGACCAGTGAGGAGGTACTGTGAGCATCCAGGTGTGCTGGGTGACAGTGGCGTGGTGTTGAGGGACAGCTTTTTACTACTGTGACAGATGCTCACGAGGATGAACTTATAAAGAGAAAAGGGTTATTTTGGCTTGCTGTGGTGGGGGCTTCATTGCTCTGGGCCTTCGGGAGGCACCACAGGGTCCGGAAGAAAGATGCTCACCACCTGACCCAGAGTGACACTAAATCTAAGTCTACCACTCAGTTTAGGGACAGTTATCAGCTTTATGATAGTAAATTTGATAATTTATAGATACTGTTTGTAGTTCCATTAATGTAAATCTTCCTTCAATGTCTGACAATAACAGTTTGTAATTTGTTTTACTAAAGATCATGAGCTGTTTTTTGTTGTTGTTAGATTTATTCAGGAAAATAAATAGATTTTTCCCCTCATTGCAAATGGTATCATTTAAAAAATTTAATTTTCTGGGACTGTAGTATTAGTGGTAGAATGTATGCTTAGCATGCATGCAATCTCCAGCACTAAAACCTAAATTAAATTAAATTATAACATTTTCCAGAGCCGGGCCAAATAGCTCAGCAGATTAAAGCGCCTGCAAGCAGGTTCAGGGGCCGGGGGCTTGATCCCCGGGTCTGCAGTGTCGGCCTTGCCCCCGGGGGCGTGCTGAGACAGCAATGGAGACTGGGCACGGTGGCGTGCGCCTGTAATCCCAGCGCTTGGGAGGCTGTAAACAGGTGGGTCCCTACGAGTCTGATCTAGTAGTGAGACCTTGAACACCCTGTAGGCCCTTCCCTAATTTTCTGAGGTTGCTTCTGCTGGTGTTGTTCGAAGCTATTATTGTTATTATTAGTAAGAGCAGTAGTAGCTGTGTTGCAATACTGGGCTTTGAAGTCAGAGGGCATGAGCCAATGTCCTCATCTATTTTATTTTTTTATCCACTTATTACAGAGCCTACAGGGTCTCCCTATACAGATCAGACTCGTCGTGATCCTCTTGTCTTTAGCCTCCCAAGCGCTGGGATTACAGCCCTTGGGGCGGGGCTGGCATGGCATGGTGAGGCATTGAACCGCTTGCTTTAGTCCGCTGAGCTATCCGGCCAGCCCATCCTCATCTATTTTAATTTTCTTCTTTTGAGACAAATGCTCACTGAGTCTCCCAGGCTGGGCTTGAACTTTCAATCCTTCTGCCTCAGCCTCCCCGTGGCTGAGATCGCACTCATGCGCCATCCTGCCCCGCGGTTTTCGTGTTTGTCTATTAATCTAATGTCCAGGGACCTTACTCGGTTCACCTCAGTTCCAGTATTTGCAGGCTTCTGGCGCTTCTGCTGAGTCATACTCACGGCGGTCTTTGTGCACAGTGCGTAGCAGACGCGAGACAGTGCTCCACCGCGCACAGCTTACACCAGCACCTTACGGGCTTCGTCCTATCATTGCCATTATTTTTCAGATAGAAAAAAAAAAAAAATAGAGTCACGGAGAGGTTAGATAACTTGCTTCAGGTCACACGGGTAGGACCAGGCACAGGTGGAACCTGAACCTTGGCAGCCAGGTTCGCAGTCTCTCCCTTGCTTTTGCCTTGGTCCCCCCTAAGTTACGCAGCGCGACGGTGCATCTGAGCGGGAATAGCTGGCGTCTTTGCAGCGTCCCTGGTTGTTAGCATTACACGCAGTCATTTACCTTTCACAGCCCTGACGAGGACTGAATTCAGGGCGTTTGCAATGAGCTACATCCTCAGCCTTTTTTGCTTTTTATTTTGAGATAGGGTCTTGCTAAGTAATGCAATTTTCTTATTTTTATTTATTTATTTTATGTATTTAGTACAGGGTCCACAGGGTCTCACTACACAGATCGGACTCAGTGATTCTCCTGGTTTTCAGCCTCCCAAGAGCTGGGATTATAGGTGCCACCACCACACCCAGTCTCAATTGCTGCCTCAGTGCACCCTAGGGCAGGCTGGGGACCGAACCCTGGCTCCTGTGTCTGTCTACGCAGGCACTTTACTCCGCTGAGCTATCTGACCAGCCCTAGTAATCCAGTGCTTTTAAGAGAAGTTTGAAAATATATTTATTGCACTGCAGAGGCTTACCTTTATTATTCTTTATAAAATATAAATAAGTGCTGATGTATTAACTGTTGTCCTGTATTTTTTAGGTGGCCTTACAATTTTCTCTTTGATCTGTCAACGCAATAATAAATCATATTAACTGATTTCCTAATGCTCAAGCAAACTTGTACTTGCACTTAAACCAGTGTAGATGTGTAGGACCTGTTTTATTCATGAGAACTACCACCCCTGCAGAAGTGTGTAGAGGTCCTCAGTGCTGCTAAGCGCTCAGTCCTGAACAGCACAGGCAGCCTCCAGGGGCAAAGGGTCCCAGGGACCCTTGGAGCCACCTCCGCTACTTTTGCCCACATCCACCTCCTCCTTGAAGGGAACCAATGGCCAGACTTGGGACTTTTGACTTGGTTTCACCTGGTGATTTTTTTTTTTTTTCTGTATTTTAGGGAAGTGTCTACAGGGTGTTCAGGGTCTCACTACTAGATTGGACTCGCAGTGATTCTCCTGTTTACAGCCTCCCAAGTGCTAGGATTACAGGCATGTGCCACCATGCCCAGTCTCAATTGCTGTCTCAGTGCACCCCAGGGTGGGGCCAGCATGACAGGCCCCCCTTTTTTTGCTTGGTGATTCATCACATATTTATCCCTACTGAAAAACATACCTTATTATAGAAATTGAGCACTATAGAAGAAAGGCTTCTGACAAACTCCTAACAGTGTGCTTCGAGCACCTGTGTGTCCTGGCATTGCAATTGGTGCCAGGGTGGAGATGGGTGTAGGGAAGGCAGACACGAGAAAGGGGACCGTAGTCCTTGTGGGGTCCACAGTCTGTCAGGCAGATGGATTATGATTGCAGAATACAGGAAAGAATAGTAAAATGGGGTGTTTCATACCATACAAACAACGCATGTATTTGGCACAAGATTCTGTAGTTTAGCCTGTACCGGGTCTTGAATGATGGGAAAAAGGAAGAGAGAGGGAGAAAGCAAGCAGGCTCTCAGGCGAGTCCTGCTTCAGTCTGGCCAGAGGCAGCTGGACAGCCCAGGCTTCGCTGCCGTGGTTTCTTTAGCATGTGGGCCCTAGGTAGGATAAGGCTTGGAGGTGACAGACCAGTCTGGGCTTCTAGGGCAGGGGAGGTCAGGCAGGCCCCTTCAGCTACCTTTTCAGTGGAAGCCACAGCAGGATTTGGTGCAAAGGAGAGACTTCCATTTATGAAAGGATCCACTTGGCTATTGAGTGGAGACCAGATAGAGCCCAGTGGGGCAAGA